TTTTTTCAAACGGCGATGTGGTGCTCTGAAAAAGGCATGGAGATTTCAACTTCCTGCGAGGCCTGTCCCCCCACCCCTCACAAGAGGGTTGGCTTCACCTCTGGTGGGAATGTGTAATTGCACAGGGCCTCTGGGACAAAGAAGAATCAATGTGGCATACAGCTTACGGGGTGACAGGCTGCTGGCATAAAAATGCAGTCACCACAGGCAGATTTGGCTCAGAGAACAGTAATAGATCTTCTGAGAAAATAGTTCACAAGTTTCGAGTAAGAGCTTTTTGGTGCCTATGGACGGCTAGAAGGGAGAGAAGATTCTTGAAGGAAGATTCGACCCCTGCTGCTATTTTTTCTCGCAAGTTAGACAGGCAATCAGATTCTGGCGAGTGCGCGGGGAACAAACCGGCCGACGGGCTCGGCGGTATTGAAACCCAACACTTCGGAGTTACCGAGGCAGACGGAAGACGTAGACGTCACCACTGAAGTCTGCTCGGAGGTCAGTCAGCGATGGAGCGACCGGGATTGACTGAAGGGGCAGGTGGAGGGGTAGGCGAGATGGTGGCATCTCGTGGTCAGCGTAGAGAAGGCGTCCTTGCACAGGGAACAACACACGTGGAGCTGCTACAGGAGACAGGTTTATCCGAGAATCTTCAACGGCAAGCAGATGAATGGGTGGCCGAGCTGGAACATACGCAACAGCATATGCAATGGATTGTTGGAGCCTTGGCCTCCGTGGCCCAGGCAGGGTCAGTGGTGGATTGGGGGGGATCTACCATGGCCACATGGCTGGAGGATAAGTGCCAACAACTGTCAACTATCCTCTGGCAGATTGTGGAGGATCCAGCACTGGAGCCCTTCGTAGATTGGCAGCGGGCTGACACTCTGATAAACAATTGTAACATGATTTTCAGCCAGGGTGTAGACTACTACGATGAGTTGAAGGAGCGGCTGCCAATTGAAACATCTACAATAGGGATAACTGCTTCAACAACAGTGACGGCGCGTACGACTATGATTTCAGCGACAGCGACAATCACATCAATGACATCAACCATAACTACAGTGCCTGCGACGATGCCATCTGCAACGGCATCAATCACATCAACAACATCACCAACGTTGATTTCCTCGACCATCAACACGATGGCGTCGACTTCACTACTTGCATCTGCAGCAGTGTCAGTGACGTCGCTACCATCACCGACATCAGCAACGAATGCTTCGTCTCAAATAACGGCAACAAGGTTTGTGGAGGCGACTACTCACAAGACTGCCGGTTGCGACAACAACAACAACAACAACAACAACAATAACAATACTATTGACGCTGTGGTAAGCGCGATTGGGCATCCCCTCCTCCCCCCGCCCCCCCCTCCCCGTTTCTCCCTCCCCTCTTGCTTGTCTTCTCACGCTTCTTCGGTGTTGACTGGGGGGAAGGGCGACTGGGTAGGTCGTATGGAATGTTCGGCAAACCAGAAGGGTGTGCGGGGGAACGAGAAGTGGGATGGTGGAGTAAAGGGGTGGGATAGCGATTGCTAGATTGCCAAGGTGGATAGGTTTGCTTGTGATTGGTCTCCTTTTCTACATCCAATGCTGGCCACGTGGCAATAGGGCGGGTAGGGTTTGCCCATGTGTTCGTTCAGCGATATGCCCGGTGGGACACGTGATTTCAATTTTTCACGTTTCTACAACTACAGGTTTTGGTCACGTGGCAGGGAAGGAGGTGCTGGGAAGATCGGCACCGATGCTCATGCGATTGACTTGTGTTCTGTCACGGAAGTATTGCGAGTTGACCTTTTTTAATTTTTCTATAAACATGGGTTTCCACCACGTGGCAGGGTAGGAGGTGCAGTGGTGTTAGACATCCGGGTTGTATATGTCGTTGTTTTGCTCTCCTGCTACGTGGGTATTTTGCTTTGAATATGTCTGCAATAGGCCTTTCCTCCACTCGAGTGGTTTGTGGCTAACTACGATCGTGGGGGGAAGCTCAATGTAACTACTGGTAAACTGCTAAACTATCTTGCCCTGCAATCAAGTTTTTAGCCTCCCCACTCCTCACGGTAGGGCAGAGCTTGATTCTGCACACAACGGGGTTAATCCTTCCCCACTTGGGGAAGCAATCAATGCCCCGTGATTATGCTACAGGCGTGTTATGCAGGGAAGCTGTTTCCAGGGGAGCAGTGGCTGAGGCTCTTCCAGCCCTAATGGGAAGAGGCGTGGGTATAAGCTTGTAATCAAATTTGTAATTGCCGCCTTGGGCAATGGGCCCTTCAAAAAAAAAAAGAAAAGAAAAGAAAAATAAGAAAAAAAAAGAAAAGAAAAAGAAAAAGAAAAAGAAGTTTAAAGAACTGATAAAGCATCTGAGTGGATCTCTACTAGGAGAAAACTCAGGGATGAAGAAACAGCTATGACTACTTTTTTTTTTTTTTTTTTTTTTTTTTTTTTTTAAGCCCAGGGGTCTGGTCCCACCTACGGTCGTTGAGTTGAGAAACCTCAACGGTGTGACACCATTTACCGCATTTTTTAAATCCTAAAAATGCATTTCAGATTTATTCGCAGCAGTTTGTATTCATTTTAAGAAAATGATGCGAAAATAGTGGTTTCTGTCGAGGATTCTGCGTATCTTGAAGTACCATATGGGCCTCGCTGCACTACTCTCGAAATGTGCAAAACGAGAGTGAATCTTCCCCTAGAATATGGAAAGATGCACTGCCATGATTTTTGTCTTTTGTGCATGTAGAGGATTCTCAGGGAAGTACTTATGCTTGATTCTTTGTCGACCCCAGGTAGGGTGTCTACGAAAGACCCATGCACGAAGTTGTTGAAATATCCGGAAATCCATACGGTGAAAGATTGCAGAGCATTCCGAAAACTTAGTGCAGCGAGGCCCCATGATGTGGAAACAGGAGGACGTCGAAGTGGGTCCAAAGAGCAATGAATATAGCCAAGAACACGGAAACATACATCGACTTTCTTTTTTCTTTTGTTTGTGCATGTGGTGAGCAACGGAGAGAGGCCTTATAGAGCCCACGCACGACAGTTACGGCTTTCATTGCACTGACGAAGTGCCTGACACAGTATACGAGAAACGGGGAACAGCAGACGGCGACTAAAAATCCCAAAAAATCGCAAAATTTCTCATAGACCATGTTGAGAAACCTACCCTCGACCGTGGAGGGTAGCTTTCTCAACTCCGTGGCGCTTGTCCATGCCGCCTTCCCTCCATTGCGGGAGTCCATTCGAAGTCCTTATACAAAAAAGAAAATCATTCAAATCACCCGGTAGGACATCAACGTTTCGAAATATTTCCAACCGTGGGATCGCAGCCCTGTCGACGGCCACATCCTGTCGAACGTTGTCGCTCGTCGTAGAAAACTCCGCGTTGAGTTTTCTCAACAACACAGGTGGGACCAGACCCCAGGTTGCTGATAATTGGTCAGGCAGGTGCAAAAAAAAATAATAATAATAATAATTGGTCAGGCAACTTCAGATGGACCGGTTTCACAGACAAAGCTAAATTGTTCTACTCGGAAATCATGTGGGATAGACCTGGGATTAGGCCCAGTTGAAGACAGCATATATCTGGCAGCCCTAGCAGGCTGAGAGGGCTTCATAAGTTCATAGTGCTACTCTCAGGGCATCCTCGCACTAGCACGCACAATCGCAAATTATATGTGAGCCAATTTGCGATTATACGGCACTTCCCAGTCACACAGCACACCCGTATACGTCACAAAACAGAAAGGACACTGTTATGATTCTGGTTGTTCGTTGCCTGAAGGTCAACACTCACTCACAAAGACTTCTGCACATGCCCATACAGACACAGAAGAAAGGGGAGAGGATCGGAGTATCACACCGCACAGGGAGAGTTAAACACAGTGGAAGACTTGACCATGCGATATGACAGGGTACACTGAAAGTGCAATACACTCCACTCAATCCTCACAACCAGTCATAGAGAAAAGCCGAGCAGATCACATCCAGGAAAAAATGAAACGATGATAGTCCAAACACAGTTATACACTGTTTATTAAACTCAGAGTCTCAAAATGTCAGGATCGATCCAGAACTACAGTGCGCTGCTCAGAATTGAGCAGCGCTTCACTCTCCAACCCTGATAAACACCCGTAACACCCCCTGAGCCCTGGCAGCGCCACCCTGAAAAAGGCCTCTGAGGCCAAGCGCCACTCAGAGGATGAAGAAGAAGACCAGCGCCACAGTATTTGATGATGACGAAGTGTCGGGAGGCTTCCCGGGTGGAAGCCTGCAGCAGCGCCACCAAATCCTGACTAGATGACCTCTGAGATGAAGAGGCTGCAGCTATGGCTGCAGCGCAAACCCTCTAGGACCCCACTCCGGAGGAGGGTCCAGCAGGGCACCAATCCCTCTCGCCTCGAGCAGACCTCGATAACCCAGACCTCTGTCAGCCCCTACGTGCTGGCAGAGTACAGCGCAGGTCCCAGCTATGGCCTGTGCTCCCAAGGTCTGGCTATGCCCGTCTCCTTCCACGTTGAGCCGTCACCACTTCCGGTTCACACGCAGCGCAGCAGCGATGTACACGGTGT